TTAGACAGGTAATAGTCCTCTTATCTTATGCCTCGTTCTTTAAACTAGTCCTCTTATCTTATGCCTCGTTCTTTAACCTCGTCACTGCGTATCCACGTATCCGCGTATCCACTAAAAAACATAGCTTCAACTATCTTTATTTATATAGGTACTAGTCCTCTTATCTTATGCCTCGTTCTTTAAAATCGTCACTGCGTATCCACGTATCCACTAAAAAACATAGCTTCAACTAACTTTATTTATATAGGTACTAGTCCTCTTAACTTATGCCTCGTTCTTTAAACTAGTCCTCTTATCTTATGCCTCGTTCTTTGAACTAGTCACTGCGTATCCACGTATCCGTGTAACCAATCAAAAACATAGCTTCAACTATCTTTTCTTATATGGGTACTAGTCCTCTTATCTTATGCCTCGTTCTTTAAAATCGTCACTGCGTATCCACGTATCCACTAAAAAACATAGCTTCAACTAACTTTCTTTACATAGGTACTAGCCCTCTTATCTTATGCCTCGTTCTTTAAACTAGTCCTCTTATCTTATGCCTCGTTCTTTAAACTAGTCCTCTTATCTTATGCCTCGTTCTTTAAACTCGTCACTGCGTATCCGCGTATCCACTAAAAAACATAGCTTCAACTATCCTTCTTTATACAGGTAATAGTCCTCTTATCTTATGCCTCGTTCTTTAAACTAGTCCTCTTATCTTATGCCTCGTTCTTTAACTAGTCCTCTTATCTTATGCCTCGTTCTTTAAACTAGTCCTCTTATCTTATGCCTCGTTCTTTAAACTAGTCCTCTTATCTTATGCCTCGTTCTTTAAACTAGTCCTCTTATCTTATGCCTCGTTCTTTAAACTAGTCCTCTTATCTTATGCCTCGTTCTTTAAACTAGTCCTCTTATCTTATGCCTCGTTCTTTAAACTAGTCCTCTTATCTTATGCCTCGTTCTTTAAACTAGTCCTCTTATCTTATGCCTCGTTCTTGAAACTAGTCCTCTTATCTTATGCCTCGTTCTTTTAACTAGTCCTCTTATCTTATGCATCGTTCTTTAAACTCGTCACTGCATATCCACGTATCCACTAGAAAACATAGCTTCAAATATCTTTCTTTATATAGGTACTAGTCCTATTATCTTATGCATCGTTCTTTAAACTCGTCACAGCATATCCACGTATCCACTAGAAAACATAGCTTCAACTATCTTTCTTTATATAGGTACTAGTCCTCTTATCTTATGCCTCGTTCTTTAAACTAGTCCTCTTATCTTATGCCTCGTTCTTTAAACTAGTCGCTGCGTATTCACGTATCCGCGTATCCACTAAAAAACATAGCTTCAACTTTCTTTCTTTATATAGGTAATAGTTCTCTTATCTTATGCCTCGTTCTTTAAACTAGTCGCTGCGTATTTACGTATCCGCGTATCCACTAAAAAACATAGCTTCAACTAACTTTCTTTACATAGGTACTAGTCCTCTTATCTTATGCCTCGTTCTTTTAACTAGTCCTCTTATCTTATGCCTCGTTCTTTAAACTAAACCTCTTATCTTATGCCTCGTTCTTTAAAATAGTCCTCTTATCTTATGCCTCGTTCTTTAAACTCGTCACTGCGCATCCGCGTATCCACTAAAAAACATAGCTTCAACTATTCTTCTTTAGACAGGTAATAGTCCTCTTATCTTATGCCTCGTTCTTTAAACTAGTCCTCTTATCTTATGCCTCGTTCTTTAACCTCGTCACTGCGTATCCACGTATCCGCGTATCCACTAAAAAACATAGCTTCAACTATCTTTATTTATATAGGTACTAGTCCTCTTATCTTATGCCTCGTTCTTTAAAATCGTCACTGCGTATCCACGTATCCACTAAAAAACCTAGCTTCAACTAACTTTATTTATAAAGGTACTAGTCCTCTTATCTTATGCCTCGTTCTTTAAACTCGTCACTGCGTATCCACGTATCCGTGTATCCAATAAAAAACATAGCTTCAGCTATCTTTCCTTACATGGGTACTAGTCCTCTTATCTTATGCCTCGTTCTTTTAACTAGTCCTCTTATCTTATGCCTCGTTCTTTAAACTAAACCTCTTATCTTATGCCTCGTTCTTTAAAATAGTCCTCTTATCTTATGCCTCGTTCTTTAAACTCGTCACTGCGCATCCGCGTATCCACTAAAAAACATAGCTTCAACTATTCTTCTTTAGACAGGTAATAGTCCTCTTATCTTATGCCTCGTTCTTTAAACTAGTCCTCTTATCTTATGCCTCGTTCTTTGAACTAGTCACTGCGTATCCACGTATCCGTGTAACCAATCAAAAACATAGCTTCAACTATCTTTTCTTATATGGGTACTAGTCCTCTTATCTTATGCCTCGTTCTTTAAAATCGTCACTGCGTATCCACGTATCCACTAAAAAACATAGCTTCAACTAACTTTCTTTACATAGGTACTAGCCCTCTTATCTTATGCCTCGTTCTTTAAACTAGTCCTCTTATCTTATGCCTCGTTCTTTAAACTAGTCCTCTTATCTTATGCCTCGTTCTTTAAACTCGTCACTGCGTATCCGCGTATCCACTAAAAAACATAGCTTCAACTATCCTTCTTTATACAGGTAATAGTCCTCTTATCTTATGCCTCGTTCTTTAAACTAGTCCTCTTATCTTATGCCTCGTTCTTTAAACTAGTCCTCTTATCTTATGCCTCGTTCTTGAAACTAGTCCTCTTATCTTATGCCTCGTTCTTTTAACTAGTCCACTTATCTTATGCCTCGTTCTTTAAACTCGTCACTCTTATCTTATTCCTCGTTCTTTAAACTCGTCGTCTTATCTTATGCCTCGTTCTTTAAACTAGTCATCTTATCTTATGCCTCGTTCTTTAAACTCGTCACTGTGCATCCGCGTATCCACTAAAAAACATAGCTTCAACTATTCTTCTTTAGACAGGTAATAATCCTCTTATCTTATGCCTCGTTCTTTAAACTAGTCCTCTTATCTTATGCCTCGTTCTTTAACCTCGTCACTGCGTATCCACGTATCCGCGTATCCACTAAAAAACATAGCTTCAACTATCTTTATTTATATAGGTACTAGTCCTCTTATCTTATGCCTCGTTCTTTAAACTAGTCACTGCGTATCCACGTATCCACTAAAAAACATAGCTTCAACTAACTTTATTTATATAGGTAATAGTCCTCTTATCTTTTTCCGTTCTTAAAACTCGTCACTGCGTATCCACGTATCCGCGTATCCACTAAAAAACATAGCTTCATCTATCTTTCTTTATATAGGTACTAGTCCTCTTATCTTATTTCTCGTTCTTTAAACTATTCCTCTTACCTTATGCCTCGTTCTTTAAACTAGTCACTGCGTATTCACGTATCCGCGTATCCACTAAAAATTATAGCTTCAACTTTCTTTCTTTATATAGGTAATAGTCCTCTTATCTTATTCCTCGTTCTTTAAACTATTCCTCTTACCTTATGCCTCGTTCTTTAATCTAGTCACTGCGTATTCTCGTATCCGCGTATCCACTAAAAATTATAGCTTCAACTTTCTTTATATAGGTAATAGTCCTCTTATCTTACGCCTCGTTCTTTAAAATCGTCACTGCGTATCCACGTCTACGCGTATCCACTAAAAACATAGCTTCAACTAAATTTATTTATATAGGTTCTAGTCCTCTTATCTTATGCCTCGTTCTTTAAACTAGTCCTCTTATCTTATGCCTCGTTCTTTAAACTCGTCACTGCGTATGCACGTATCCGAGTATCCACTAAAAAACATAGCTTCAACTATCTTTCTTTATATAGGTAATAGTCCTCTTATCTTATGCCTCGTTCTTTAAACTAGTCACTGCGTATCCACGTATCCTCGTATCCACTAAAAAACATAGCTTCAACTAACTTTCTTTATATAGGTAATAGTCCTGTTATCTTATGCCTCGTTCTTTAAACTCGTCACTGCGTATCCACGTATCCACTAAAAAACATAGCTTCAACTATCTTTCTTTACATAGGTAATAGTCCTCTTATCTTATGCCTCGTTCTTTAAACTAGTCCTCTTATCTTATGCCTCATTCTTTAAACTAGTCCTCTTATCTTTTGCCTCGTTCCTTAAACTCGTCATTGCGTATCCGCGTATCCACTAAAAAACATAGCTTCAAATATCTTTCTTTATATGGTAATAGTCCTCTTATCTTATGCCTCGTTCTTTAAACTCGTCACTGCGTATCCACGTATCCGCGTATCCACTAAAACATATAGCTTCAACTATCTTTCTTTATACAGGTAATAATCTTCTTATCTTACGCGTCGTTCTTTAAACTCGTCCCTGCGTATCCACGTATCCGCGTATCCTCTAAAAAACATAGCTTCAACTAACTTTCTTTATATAGGTACTAGTCCTCTTATCTTATGCCTCGTTCTTTAAACTAATCCTCTTATCTTATGCCTCGTTCTTTAAACTCGTCACTGCGTATCCACGTATCCACTAAAAAACATAGCTTCCACTATCTTTCTTTATATAGGTAATATTCCTCTTATCTTATGCCTCGTTCTTCTTGTTCATGGTGGTGTCATAACAGTATGACACCTCCATGATACTTGTTCTTCGTTGTTCTTGGTACTGTCATAACAGTATGACACCACCAAGAACAAAATTCATCACGAAATGAACGGAGGCAATAAAACGAACCAAAAAAAAATTGTCTTGGTAAATGAGATCAATAGGTGGTAGTATACTCATAGTTTAATTTAAAAACTACTTAAGCTACTGAACTTGTAAACTTACATTTTATACTCTCGAATGAAAATGAAAGTATAACAGCTACACAATCGCTTTGTGCTGGATTTAAAGTAAGAGACCTTTTTACTCTAGAATCGGTACTTGTAAATCCAGTTTTATTATGTCATAACCATAAACTCTGACAAAAGGTTGAGTGGACTGTGCATGCTCAGATAATTTTGACTGAGTGAGCTAGTTACTCTCATGGCATGGTAAAGAGATCCAGTTAATAGCCTAAATTATCTTTACCTTCATCTTTACATTCTTCTCTGTACTGCAGTGTTTGAGGGGGCAAAACTTCAGATGTTGCTCCCGTAGTAATTGTTATTTTTTTCAACTTAGTTATTGATGATGTGCTCTCAGTTGTTGGTGGGCTTGGCAGTCTTGGTCTTTGTAGTACACCATTGATCATTTCCATTCGGTATTGAATCTCTTTTGGTGGTTCGCATATTGGTGGCTCCCAGATGCATGTCTCTGAATTACAAACATACTGTGATATACTTACATGTACCTACTTCTTCAAATAGAGTCAGTACAACAAGGAATGAGTTTTAATTTTGCAATATTCACAAAAAGTTTTGTTTTTTTCACACTTGAAACACTAAATGTTTGACTCCTTCATGTCTGGCTACCTACCAACTTTAGGGTTGCAAACATAGATGTGAAGTTTCATGTGATTGGTTAAACAATGTCCATCAGGCCCACTAGTCTTCCGGGTTTGAAGATCCTCAGGATAACCAACGCTTGTACCTTGTATATACAAACATTATTAAGTGATGGTTATTTTGATCATTTAGTCGATTAAAGTTAGTCGGGCATGGGACTTACGAACCTTACACTAGCCACTTGAATAGAAATGGATTTATTGCTAAAATGAAATCACTTACTTATAAAGTAGTAATGTTTTCCCGGAATAAATCTTGGCTCTTTAGCTGAGTATCGCGGATGAAATCCTAACTGCAATTTTTTGACATAACTTGGATTATTGCACACCAAGAGAAGTTTACCGCCGTCATTCACTTCGCATTTGTCGTATCCCGCTTTGTTCACGTGCCACAGGTTTTCATACAGCGAATCCGTATACAAAGGGCGTGATCGCCACGTGTTAACGGACGCTTCACTAGGACAAACAATGTTCATTCCCGTATAAGGTAAAACTTTTATGTAAAATTCTTTTGTCGAATTTGTCAGGTGTGTTTCAGCCAATCTGCTAAATCTGAAAGCATTGCAACAATTATTTCTCTGGAAAAACTCTTAAAAAAGCAACATTTAGGAACTATAAAAACAATTTTAAAGAAAGCTCTGTTTTTGAGTAGTTATGGTGCAGGTATGGTCCCGGAAGTAAACGGAGCTCTTACCCGTGTCAATTAGTTTCCAGTCCTAGGAAGTAAACAGGGCGCGCGCGTGTAAACCGGAAACGATATAAAATGAACGAAGGTTGCTATTGGATGACATGATTAATTGCAACACGATAAAACTTAATTAAAATTACCAAATGGTTTCTATTCTTAAAGCAATATTAGATCTAAAAGATATTGATGATGCTCAAAAATATTCTAATCGGTAACAAAGTATACAGCACAGCGCCCACATTGTATTATATGTTCATTTGGCTTTTACAAAATATGCGGTCTTTTTTATAACGAATGTTACTGCAAACGCGCATTGTGAAGTATATTATTCTTTGTTATTGAGCTTGCTTGTAATATGTTCTATAAGATATTGTCGATGCTCAAAAGTATTCTAATCCTAAGTATTCTGCTCAAAACCTGTCGTCATTTTTATAACAAATCACACTTCAAACGCGCATTGTGACGTTAAATTTACGTATGAGATTAAATCTAGAAGTTACTACTTAGATCGTAGGAAATGGCCTATCCTCAATGCCTATACTCATTATGCTGAATATTCGCGCGCTTTTCATTCTTACGTATATGTACTTGCGTTTTTCAAGTGCTTTATCGGTCTCGCCTTAACTGCACCTAAATAGCCTATCCTTAATTTATATGTTCAATATTCGCGCACTCTTCATTCTTACGTATAGGTACTTGCGATTTTCAAGTGCTTTATAGGTCTCGCCTTAACTCCACCTAGTTAAGAAAAAATATAAAAACCTCGCATCAAAAGTGGGCACATTACTGGCTCGTGGAATGAAATTTATATAAAGACGTATAAGCGTTCGAGTGTTTGCTCTGACTCATTATTAAACATTTCAACAGACTAAAATATATTAAGGAACAAATTTCGTGTTTCATACTCAGTATATGGCGCAGACAATTCTTCAGCGTGAATCTGCAGAATGCTCAAATAAACAAGTAAACTTCCTTAGAGAAAAACTCGCAAGTGTGCAAATTCTGGAAAATTACTGCACAGGATACATTGATGGAACGGTGGAGCAAATGGAAGAACTTCTTGAACAGTTTCAGGTCTCGTAGTTTGTTTTCAATTGTTGCACCAAACTGCAAACAATTTGTAACATATTCCGAAAAACATCATCATGTAAACTCAAAATTTCAGTTATAATAGCAAGAAACAAAATCTAAAAGCAATATTTTGACATTATTTCAAAGTCATTATAAAGCTAATATAGCTAAGTCTACGAGATCATGTTTTGTCGGCTGGAAAAGGTTTTTGTAATTCTTGAACAGTTAACTTTCAAAGGCCGTAATACGTAAACCTTGATAAATTGATTTCACGCGTTAGCTAATATATTTGAAAAGTGAAAGAGGTTTTTGAATTTAGGTAATTCACTCTATCTCATTTGTGAAAGCTGACAACCACTCAAAAACAAGGGGCAATAAACGTTTTTCACTTACAGGTAATCAACTCAACCGCATCAAGCATCTTACCCCAAATTAAAGCGAGAAAACACCAAGAGATTTTCAACCGACGCATAAATTGGGCAGCCAAGCCTGCTACATCCCCCCCCTTCTTTAATATTGCATGACCAATTAACATTTTATAGTCGCAAAGACATTCCACTATGGAGTTAGAAGAATCGAATCTAACAGTCATTTCTATCTATATTAACAAAAACTCATTAGGAAAAACCGTTCAATGACTCGCCAATTATTTTGCTATCTCTTTTAAATACATTTTATTATCTAACACATCTGCATAGCTTAGTATAATAAGAATGTTTTACTTGAAGACAAACAAAATGCTGAAAAAACATATCATTTATTTTTTCTAGCAGCGCCAGTGTTTGAAAGCAAGAAGGGAAATATTCCAATTGAGTTTTTTGGAAATCCGTTTTTGATTGTGAGCAACGAAACAAGACATTGTTTACATGGGAGCGCGAAAGTATGTATTCTTCGTTATGATATTTAAGATTTATTTGTGCACAATTTGTCTTGACACCACACTGTTTTATTTTAACAAACTTCTCAGGACAGCAGAGGCACTCGCAATAGAGTCCCTTAAGGACTGCAAAAACGATCAAGAGTCCCTGCGCAGGAAGGTAGAAACCTGGAAACAGAATTCTCCAAGCAGCAAGTTTTTCTACCGCACAAGAGATAACGCTTCCAGAAACGATATTCCTCCAAAGGAGGATAAAAAGTTTTTGTTTGTGCATCAAGAGCATTGGCTCTTATTGACTTTGTCATAACGTCCTATCCATTTCCTGTATTCTGCTTACAAACCTTTTGCATTATACACTCTAAAAGCATGGTTGTAGTTTCTTAATTCAGTTGCTTAACTTAAAAGTCAAAAATTGATTACAATTTAAATACAAAAACAGTAAATACGAAAAGGAGAATACATACGTAACATACCTGCTTTTGACGAGTGCAGAAAAAAGTTTTCGTATTCAGCGATCAATTACGTAGCATGAACTCATACAACATGTACATCGTTTTTTGCTGACCCTCTAATCTTATCTTTTATCATTTTCAATGATAAACAGTGAACTGTAATTACAACATTGTTGTTATTTGAATGTTTTTTATGCAGTGCGGTGTTTTGAAATTAAATGAGATATGATCTTCGCACTTAGCTGGACAATTTAAGCAATCGTCTCAGCATAAAAAACATTCACATGACATTCATTTCACGAGAAAACATGAGCCCAACAATATTGACCTGCTCACCACTGTGTGACTTCATAGCTCAGTGGTCAGAGCACTGCACCGGCACCGCAGAGGTCATGGGTTCGAATCCCGTTGAGTCACCTGATTTTTTCAGGTCCTGAGACGATTGCTTAAATTGTCCAGCTAAGTGCGAAGATCATATCTCATTTAATTGTTGTTATTACAGTTCACTGAATATAAATCATTGGGATAAATGGGATTAGTTGAATAATACCATTTTATCCACTACACTGACCATAATGCATCGCAGACGCACTCTCTCTCCGCCCGGGATGTAATAGGAGTTTTAGCCAGTGAACTCCATATATATATATATTTTCAATTATACCGCTCTGCCGTGGCATTGAGCACTCTAACCGTACGATTTTGTTTGCGATAGTTTCTATCACAAAATCCCATTATATTTCGCTCCTTTATTGTTGAGCACTCTACATATCGATATGGAACCCACAAACCTTGGATACTCGACGAAGAACATCCCTATAGCACAGCCAGACGTATACCTGAGATGCCTGATTGAAAAAACTCAAAACTTCCTACAACGCATGAGATGGAAAGCATATCATTTCCTCAACCCAAACATCGCACCGACACAAAAAGAGACTTTCGGATTTAAGACCACAAAATCACCACCACCAATTAACAAACTGCGCGAGTTCGAAGAAAGAATGTTATCACTTGTTCAGAATACTAACTTCCAAAACTCAACTTCCACCTTCCAAAACAATCTACGCCAAGATATGAACAAAATCAAGAAAGACAATATGCTATTTGTGCCAGCCGATAAAACAACTAACTTTTACCGCATTAATCCGAACACATACCAACAGCTCCTCCAAAGTAACATAACCAAAAACTATAAGAAAGCTTCACCAGACGCGAAAACCGAAGTCATTAGGGAAGAGAAATCAATAGCGAAAGACCTCAAACTCGAAAGCAGAATCGACGCTCTAGCCGAGAAAAATTGCTTCATCACACTAAAAGACCACAAACCAAACTTCAACAACAACCCGACATCGCGACTCATCAATCCAACAAAATCCGAGATTGGCATCATCAGTAGAAAGATTCTCAATAGGATCAATAACAAAATAATAGCACACACCGGCGTAAAACAATGGCAAAACAGCGACTCAGTGATTGAATGGTTCAAAAGCATCCCCAACAAACGCTCCCAGTCATTCATCAGCTTTGACGTCGTTGATTTCTACCCCTCGATATCAAACGACCTTCTACACAAAGCCCTGGAATTTTCTTCCGAATTTGTAGAAATAACAGAGAAAGACAAGCGTATAATCACACAAGCTAAGAATTCCCTATTATTCAACAGATCTGAAGCATGGTGCAAGAAAGGCAGCAGCTCAAATTTCGACGTAACAATGGGTAGCTTTGACGGAGCGGAAACATGCCAGTTGGTAGGCTCATTTCTGCTCTCACAACTTCCTACAGACTACAGAAATAACATTGGTTTATATCGCGACGATGGCCTCGGTGCATTCAATGCTCCCCCTAAGACGATAGAAAAAATCAAGAAACTACTGTGCCGAATATTCAACGAAAACAACCTGAAATTAACCATTGAAGCAAATAAGAAATCCGTGAACTTCCTTGACATCACCTTTGATTTACGATCTGACTCCTTTAAGCCATACAACAAACCTGGAAACATTCCTCAGTACATAAACATTCACAGCAACCACCCTCCATCTATCCTACGCAGAATCCCGGAAACCATCAACCAACGGCTCTCAAGAATCTCATCCAACAAGCAATCATTCGACTCAAGCATACACCCATACCAAGAAGCACTAACAAAAAGCGGCTTTAACTACAAATTACAATACAGCCCACAAACCACACGAAAGTCAATAAACAGAAACAGAAATAGAAACATCACCTGGTACAATCCACCATACAACTCCAATGTCCACACAGACATCGGACACAAGTTCCTTAGTATAATCAACAGGTCCTTTCCAAAAAACCATCCACTCAGCAAAATCTTCAACCGAAACACACTTAAGCTAAGTTACAGTTGCCTGCCAAACATCGATACGATAATTTCTACACACAATAAGACCGTTTTAACCAAAGAAGAAACGATGATAAACGCCACCACAGACAGAAAATGCAACTGCCGGAAAAAAGAGGAATGCCCACTAAAAGGAGAATGCCAAACCAAAGGGGTAGTCTACCAAGCCACAGTCACCAACACACTAACCAAACACAAAGAAATCTACATCGGTCTAACGGAGAATACTTTTAACATGTTTACAAGTCATGGTAGGATGGCCTGAGCATCGCCAAAACTGCCCCATCGACCTTCACCAGTTCTGGAATTTCCGTGACGAGATAGCTGTACATGATGGTATTCTCATGAAAGGTGATCGTGTAATCATCCCAAAGACATGGCAAGCCGAGATACTTCACCAGATACACACAGGACATCAAGGAATCGAGAAATGTCGACTTCGTGCTAGACAAGCTGTCTACTGGCATGGCATTGACAAAGACATCAAGGACATGGTAAAAAGATGTGCTTCCTGCCAGCAACACCAAACTTCAAATCCTAAAGAAACGATAATTCAACAAGAAGCACTGAAACCTTGGGAAGTCGTGTCATCAGACTTGTATCACTGGAACAATGCCAACTACCTGTTACTTGTCGACTACTATTCCTCATACTTTGTTGTGAGGAAACTATCATCAACCAGATCTTCAGACATCATCAGCAAACTTAAGGCCATTTTCTCTGAGTTTGGCATACCCCGAAAATTAGTGAGTGACAATGGCCCTCAGTATGCATCACAAGACTTCGAGAATTTCACCAAGGAATATGGATTCGAACACTCAACCAGTAGTCCACACTACCATCAAGCTAACGGGAAAGTTGAACGCTTCGTCGCTACTGTGAAGAATACCTTACAAAAATGCAAAGAAACGCATCAAGACCCAGCATTAGCTCTTTTGGCTGTACGAAACACACCAATTTCCTCTACAGTACCTTCACCAGCGGAACTTATGTTCCAACGTAAAATCGACGATGGACTTTCGTTCAAGAGTTCCTTTCACCAGACCGCTCAACAAGACATTTCTCAGCACAGACAACGCCATGTCCAGCGATACGACAAAAGAGCCCGCGATCGACCAGATCTTGCTATTGGCCAGAGTGTACGGATACAGAATCCAACCACCAAACTCTGGGATCCTGCTATTGTTACACAGAAACTAGTAGAACCAAGATCATATGAAGTCAAAGCTAGCAATGGAGCCACCTATCGCTGCAACAGAAGGCATATCAACACCACAAATGAAGACTTCACCAACACAGATACAGAAGACCTTACAACTTACTCAGAAACTGAACCGCTGCCAGACGATCCAGCAAGGACAACTTCACCCCCTTGTTGCGCAGTACCACAAGATAATATTGTCATAACCAGATCAGGAAGAATTAGCAAACCCCCACAGAGACTTATTAATATGTAGCTACTTGACATTAGAGAAAGGGGAATGTTATGATATACTCACGTTAGATTTGTTTACATTCATATTCATATGCAAATTGTTATAGAATCACGTGATATGTAAATTACCTCGTGGTATGTAAAATGAATTTTTATTAAAGAGTTCAAGTCGATACTACAACACTTGCGCTCTAAAATGACACTGCATGCTAAATAGCACTTGGACACGGATCGTAAATCGTTTTAAAGATCGCAAATACCATGGTGAATGGCAAAAGTAATAAGTCAATAGTTCTTAAAAGAACTGTTTTAAGCACAGAAAACTAACCCAATAGTTCTAAAAAAACTGTTATGAAACTAAACCACAGAATGCATTTCGGCAGACTACTCCTCAGGTGTCAACGTGTGCTAAATGAAAAGCACGACGAAGTCTCTATTTTATTATACAAATAGTAACAAACAATAACATGGAGTGCTCTCTTTTCTGCAGTGTGAGGAGATTTACCCTCATCCAAGATGCCTGGAATCAAAATACGTGATGAAGATCGAGAAAAAATCAACGCGAAGTATATTTGTACTCGCTGTCATCTCCTCCTTGTCAATCCAATGCAGACAATGTGTGGACACTTGTTTTGTCAATCTTGTATTAACATTATACCTGGGTAAGATAATTTTCTGTCAAAACTGTCAACTGAAAGTGTGGTTTAAAGTTGTCGATTAAATAGATTATTTGCAATGTTGTATCTCATCCAATGTTGTATCGTGTGTTCCAACCACAGGTATAAGCTGATGTGTGATCATATATCCTAAATTGCCATATGGATTTACATGCCCCTATGTAGTTTCTCTTATCTAGGCGTCGTGATTTTTTATCTCTATGTGGTATCTTACATTTCATTTATACACGACGTATTCCGAAACTCTGACATCGAGGATGTCAGCAGCGCTCATTTTTGCTTGTTATACTTCACTTAAACATGATAATTAGAACCTAAATTTACGTTCATCATAGTTCAAGCAGTTTACCGAAGATTGTCTGTTCGGTTTCTTCAACATGATCTCTGTTTTACATTTAACATTTTTGCTACTTATTTTCATGTTCTTTTAATCTGTAGAGATCCTGATCCAAAATGTCCTGAAGATCAAGAAAAATTTTAAAAGGTTTTAAAAGGAAACTTCCATACAGCTTTATCAATTGTTGATTGAGAAACTCCTGTAAAATATTCTTCCATTCTCAACATCTTCATCTACTAATATGCAATTATTACACTAATCTTTGAACTTCTATGAAACTTATATACAGGTTTTCCCTGATGCTTTTACGAAACGTGAGTTGAAAAGTATTCGTTTACATTGTCCTTCTGAACAATGTGAATGGTTTGGCAACTACGAAGAATTGGAAGTGAGTTGATAAATTTATTAAAAAAGTTTGGTATTTTTACTTATTAATTTTTTTTTGTCAGGGTCATTATCAAGTTTGTGAGCATGCGCTCATCAGCTGCGTACATAAGCAGTGTAACATTCAGTTACCTCGCTCTCTCCTTGGTGAACATTTGAAGAATGAATGTGAATATCGCAATGTAAAATGTGAATATTGTGGTAAAGATGTCCCGTATGCTTTACTTAAGGTATGCGGAATATTCTCAGGCGGATTAAAGGAAAATAGAATTGAGATATAGCCAAAAGTGCTAATCTGTGTTCATTACGATGTATTTATACCCGTTGGGTCATATCGTTGGACTGTTTGCACAAAAATACAGGAGTAAATTAAATGAGCGCTTTTCTCTTGTTTCAATATTTATAAAATTGTATGACTTTAAACGTCATTATATTTTTGTCTATCATTTGTTACCCACCATCTTTCTATATTTCAAGACATTATACCGTATTTTACTTTCTAAGTTTTGTTTACTTCATTTAACATTTAGGATCACATGGAAAATGTGTGTGAGTATTATCCTGTGGTTTGTAAATATTGTAAGAAAAGATACCAAGGAAAGATATTGAACAACATCAAAGTACGACATGTGATGAAGTGCCGACTAAATGTGAATTTCAAGCTATTGGATGTAACCATGATAAAGTAAGAGAATATAAAATGATTTGTTATCACATGTCCGCACTGAAGTATTCAACTTTGAAACTGTTTCTAAACAAAATTTTCATCAAGAACCCTTGACATGATTCTACATTTGTACTGTTGAATTACAAGTTCGCATACTTGATTTTATTAACACCCTGGTTGTTATAATTTTATTAGATTTAATTATATTTCAATATTTATATTTAATTATATTTGTTTTGAAACATCGATTTATTGTAGCTAATTTGTAATTTTGTGTGAGGAATATGTTGGTATTATCTTTGTCTTTTTCACAGACTATAAAACGAAGGGAGATCCGACAACATTTGAATGACAATCTAATTGATCATGTGAGCCTCCTGTTACGATATGTTATGGCATTTGTTACACAGTTAAGTAACTATGTACCACGTCCAGAGTTTACCACTGCTGTTCAAAACATGGCTGACCAAGTTACTGCTGTTCGTGCAGATCTTTCAGAGAAATTTGTTATGTTAGTGGGTAAACTTACAGGTCTTGAAAGAAGGATTGAGAGTCTCGAGGCTCGTGGTGATAACGATAGTAATAATGCCAACTCGTCATTAGAGGTTTCTTTGATGCGTGATAAAATTCCAACTCTCGAACGACAAGTGAGAGAAAATTCCTCAACTTTACTATGATATCGTGAGCGCTTAGATCAAATTGATGAATCACTAGCTAGAAACACGGTGAAGATTACGGACCTTGAAGCGCAACGTGGCTCGCATGCACTGGGGTCGAATAAAGCCATACACAGCTACAATGGTACGTTACTTTGGAAAATAGATAACTACAATAGGAAAAGACAGGACGCCATTAATGGTATCAAAACAGCATTGTACAGTGCACCATTCTACAGTTCTCAATATGGTTACAAGATGTGTGTAAGATCTATATGAATGGTGATGGTTTTGGAAAGGGAACTCATTTATCTTTGTTCTTTGTTGTCATGAAAGGTAAAAGCATTTCAGTATTTTTAATCTCTACCGCCTTAAGTTTGTCGGGGGCCTTGTGTTGCAGGTTACATTTCAATATTTTCTCGTCAAATGACTCTGAAGATGACTACCGCTAAGGTTGTAGTAACGTCAGTCAACAACAACAATAACAGGACTATACCAACCTGGACGATATACATTTAGAAACATGTAGCGATACTCCCGGTTTCAAACCACTTACTTTTTTACAATATCTATGTAATAATCTAAGATTAAACAAGATGCCAACTCAGGCGAGTAAGAACAATTCAAACCAAACCCAACACCGTCACTTGTAGGCAAACTTAACAGCAAGATCTTCTCTATGAGAAAATCTTCAACAGATTATATGTAGCATATGAATTTATGAATATGAGTTTTTGCCAATTATTAATCTGCCGCTGTCCATTAGTAAGCAAAACTGTCAGTTGTATCACAATTACTTAGAGAAAGATAATTAGTTTTTGGTTTAATTTTTCCAGCTGAAAGCAGAGTTAGGATGTATTTTGGAGAAGAGTGATGTTGTGCAAGATATGAAGGAACGATGGAATTTGCACAGATATAAAATGCTGTCTGCTATTAAAAATACAAAGCAAAAGAATGTCAGCACTATCCTTGAAGAGCTGGAGGATTTTCGAGTTGAAGATGAGAAAGGTTGGTGTAAAAATCAATAAGTTAAAATCCCTATTTATACTGAAGTGTTAATGCTTTAGAGAGTGATAATGGTAATATATTCATTCTATGCTATGTTGATTATTTTAGAGGTGAAGAACCGGTGTATAATGGCATGTTTGCCTTTTGTGTTAGATGACCAACGCACCCATCGAGATATGAACAAAAAGCTATTTTGGGACATTGTTGATGTAAGAGTTGGTATTGTCACAAATAATATTTTCTGCATAAATGTGTGAAAAATTGATGAATAATTTTATCTCTGTTGAAGGGTTAAAGATTAGGGGAAGTTCAAGAGATCATTAACAAAAGTTCGTCTCCTAGACTCCTATCAACAGGAACGTTAAGAAACATTCATTCAATAATGTTGGTGGCTGAGGGGATGATTGTGGCAAAGCTGAAAACGGAAAATATTGTCAATGCAGTTATTATTTTACTTAGTTCTTTTTATACTTTTAATGCTGAGTATCCTAAAGGTGTTAATGGACATGGCAAAAATGTATTTATTCTTTTAGAACATTTGCTTTTAAATTCGAGTGGCAATTGTAAGGCTCAATTGCCAACTTTTGTCGATAATTTTATTTCTTCTATGAAGTAGAAAACTTTTGTAGTGTTAATTAATGGCATGTAGTAGAGGTTTTAAGTATTCTGTGTTTGCAAAAAATGTGCTATTTCTAATTGTGTGATTGATTTTCTTTAGCTTAGTTAAAAAGATCCTCTATATTGGTCAAATGGTCATGGATATGCACCTGAAAAAAATGCTTATTTAATGGTAAAAACAACCAAATAAAATTGGTCAAATAAATTGGTAAATTTACCATTTTTGTTTTTGGTATTTTTGACCAATTTAGGAATTGGTTGTTTTGACCTATAAAAGACATCGTTCAATATCTTCACGACACCATGACCTTCCGCAGCTCCTTTTGCAATTGTCCAATTCACGATGGAGCCACATTTTATTAAAATCTTCACAGCACTTTAAAAAGAAAGAAACAGAAATAAGGAAAAATACACGTTGATGATGTAGCGATTTCTACTGTAGTCTTCTGTTTGTACGTAACATATTATAAATAACAAAATTGTGTTATTGTCTTCAATGTTCTTTTAACTGAACTACAAGACCAACTGTGGACTATGATGATATTTCAAAACACAGTTCTAGTTTCTTTCATACTTCAATATCATACACAATAACATCACGTTGTTGTGATGTACTCAGGTATAGTAACAAGATAATCATTCTCTTCAATGTCTGCCAACTGAATACAATACCAACTGTAGACTATGATGATATTTTAAAATACAGTTCTAGTTTCTTTCATATCTTTAATATCATAGATAATAACATCACGTTGTTGTGATGTACTCAGGTATAGTAACAGGATAATCATTCCCTTCAATGTCTGCCAACTGAACTACAATACTAACTGTAGACTGTGCTGATATTTCAAAAGACAGTTCTAGTTTCTTTCATATCTTAATATTATACGTAAATAATAACATCACGATGTTGGGATTTATTCAGGTATCGTAAAAAAGGGGTTTTTCCATAAGACATCACTTAAAAATTAAAAACTCTGAAAATACATACTCCTCTTGTTCTATCCCAACCAAGGACTCGCCGTCAACCTCAATGATTTGGTCACCGGGACTCACACGGCCATCCTAAAACACAAAGAAAACAAAAAAAAATTATCAATTTATCCAATAAAAAGAATTCTTAAAAATGTCCAAAACATCAATCGACGTACCACAGCAGCTGGTCCATTGGCAATAACCTCTTTAACGTTTATACCAGATTTTCCCTGACCGCCGCCCTGAAATATAATGCGTTTTTTTGGATATGCAGGACTAACTCTTTTCCTGGATTTTTACTAACGAGAGGACTTGGGTTGGTACACATAGTTTTGATTCATACTCCTTCAACGATTGTACAACCATCAAGAGCAGGGAGAGGGGAATTTTGGGACCAATACCAGCCTGATAATGCCAGGGGGAGATAGACTAGGGGCATTACAAACTTAATGATAGCCGCGGCGGGAGAAGAAGTAAAGAAATTGAAGATTTTCACCTTAGCAGCTACGATGCTGACGCCCATTCCCTTGTTTCCTTTATTTAAAGTAATTTTAATAGTCTACAAAATAAACAACATAAAAACCGTTAAATTAATTGAAGATAAAATCCCCTGGATTTAAGATTCAATCCATGGCTTTAGGTCCGTGACATAGGATTGAGCCTATGGAGAGAGATTTTTCATTCAGCCCAAAGAATGTACATAATCTTTCACAATTAGATCATTCACACAAATATCCAATTCCATGATTTAAAATTGAGTCGCATGGAGCCCGCGAATGAAAAATTCGAATCTACACTTACGCAATTAAAAATTTCGCCACATGATTTAAACATAATCCCAAGGTTTGTAAGAGTTATTCACATGATATAAAACTTAATCCTGTGATTAAGGATTATAAGTTCAAGATAAAGACATACGTATACTGTAAACAAACCTCTAAAGGAGGACCCTCGGTTACTAAAAATTCAAAGAGAAAGAAAATTGTCGTGAGCAAACATAAAATCATCTTTTGAAAAACAAATGAACATCATGGAGCAAATTTACCTTCAACAGCCTCAAAATGAACTGTCCAGTATCCGGATGCCTTTGGTTGGATTGTAAGTTTGCATAAACCTTTAGAAGGGACAATGAGGAGCAATGAAGAACATTACGAGATTTAGAAATAACTACGTATAACATGGGCGAAAGAGCTAGGGTTAACATCAGTATTATGATGAATATGTAAATAGGGCAATTTAGAGCAATGAGGAACATGATGAATATGTATGTATAAAATTCGAAGTATAACTGATCAGCAATTGTGTCATTTTTCTTATATCAAGTATTGAGTTGGTAATGAACCTTTGGAAGATTTTTATTTCATAAAAATTATATATTTTAACTACAGTCAAATTAAATTATTTTTGCTAAGGATAGGTAAATTTTCCATGAAAAGTTTTAATCTAGAAAGAAACTTCTACGAAAGCTCTTCTTTATATGTTTTATATGTTTTTAAAATTTTGGAAAAACATTGCAGGAAAAACATCGGAAAGCATGAATAAAACTGGTAAAAGGAAACTTGATCGTTTCTCGATGAATTCGGCGGGTCGAAACACGAGGATTGAGATTATCCAATCCAGCTACCTGGGGCAATTAGAGGAGAAAGGAACTCCTAACTCCTTCAATCCTGGTGGCACGCCGCAAGTATTCTCGACGAAATAACTATCGTCAGGAAGTAAGAATGGTAATTGTAGTTCCGATTCTTCTTCAAGATTTACTTCATCTCCATCAATGCGGGCGCTCTGGTCAGCGGTTCTCTCCGCAATACTAACTGCTTTTTCGATGAGGTCCAAAGAAACGGGAGGCTTGTCCCTCTCTGGCTGATAAAAGTCCAAAAGTTGACGTATTTGAAGTGAGTTGAATTTGAAGCAATTTGATGCGATGTTTGCCGAATCTTGCTTCAGCATTTGTAGTAGCAATGATGCCTGGTGGTGGAAGGATAAACAAGGATTAACATACATAGTATATTATATGATGTATAGTATATTGTGTGATGATCGCGGACGGGATTCATTATGTAGTACACTACTTATAACAGACTGTCAAAGTAATAGATACAGGGGGTCGTTACAAAAGAAAGGTGAGGGACAGGGAGACCATTTAAGAACAATGCTAATGGGTACAAGGGATCATTTAAGAACAATGCTAATGTACACAAGGGATCATTTAAGAACAAAGGTAACGGTTACAAGGGATCATTTAAGAACAGTGCTAATGTATATAAGGGATCATTTAAGAACAGTGCAAATGTATACGATGGATCATTTTTTAGAGCAAAGGTATTGTTCACCAAAATGTCTCTACACTGATGAGCAAAGGTATTGTTTATTAAATGTCTCTACACCAATGAGCAAAGGTATTGTTCACCAAAATGTCTCTACACCGATGAGCAAAGGTATTGTTCATCAAAATGTCTCTACGCCGATGACCAAAGGTATTGTTCACCAAAATGTCTCTAAGTTAATGAGCAAAGGTATTGTTCACCAAAATGTCTCTACGTTGATGAGCAAAGGTATTGTTCACCAAAATGTCTCTACGCCAATGAGCAAAAGTATTGTTCACCAAAATGTCTCTATACCGATGAGCAAAGGTATTGTTCACTAAAATGTCTCTACGCCAATGAGCAAAGGTATTGTTCACCAAAATTTCTCTACGTTGATGAGCAAAGGTATTGTTCACCAAAATGTCTCTACGCCAATGAGCAAAGGTATTTTTCACCAAAAGGTCTCTACACCGATGAGCAAAGGTATTGTTCACAAAAATGTCTCTACGCCAATGAGCAAAGGTATTGTTCATCAAAATGTCTCTACGCCAATGAGCAAAGGTATTGTTCACCAAAATGTCTCTACACTGATGAGCAAAGGTATTGTTCACCAAAATGTCTCTAAGTTGATGAGCAAAGGTATTGTTCATCAAAATGTCTCTACGCCAATGAGCAAAGGTATTTTTCACCAAAATGTCTCTACACCGATGAGCAAAGGTATTGTTCACCAAAATGTCTCTACGCCAATGAGCAAAGGCATTGTTCATCAAAATGTCTCTACGCCGATGACAAAAGGTATTGTTCACCAAAATGTCTCTAAGTTAATGAGCAAAGGTATTGTTCACCAAAATGTCTCTACGCCGATGACCAAAGGTATTGTTCACCAAAATGTCTCTAAGTTAATGAGCAAAGGTATTGTTCATCAAAATGTCTCTACGCCGATGACCAAAGGTATTGTTCACCAAAATTTCTCTACGCCAATGAGCAAAGGTATTGTTCACCAAAATGTCTCTACGCCAATGAGCAAAGCTATTGTTCATCAAAATGTCTCTACACTGATGAGCAAAGGTATTGTTCACCAAAATGTCTCTACGTTGATGAGCAAAGGTATTGTTCATCAAAATGTCTCTACACCGATGAGCAAAGGTATTGTTCACCAAAATGTCTCTACGTTGATGAGCAAAGGTATTGTTCATCAAAATGTCTCTACGCCAATGAGCAAAGGTATTGTTCACCAAAATGTCTCTACACTGATGAGCAAAGGTATTGTTCACCAAAATGTCTCTAAGTTGATGAGCAAAGGTATTGTTCATCAAAATGTCTCTACGCCAATGAGCAAAGGTATTGTTCACCAAAATGTCTCTACGCCGATGAGCAAAGGTATTGTTCACCAAAATGTCTCTACGCCAATGAGCAAAGGCATTGTTCATCAAAATGTCTCTACGCCGATGACAAAAGGTATTGTTCACCAAAATGTCTCTAAGTTAATGAGCAAAGGTATTGTTCACCAAAATGTCTCTACGCCGATGACCAAAGGTATTGTTCACCAAAATGTCTCTAAGTTAATGAGCAAAGGTATTGTTCATCAAAATGTCTCTACGCCGATGACCAAAGGTATTGTTCACCAAAATGTCTCTACGCCAATGAGCAAAGGTATTGTTCACCAAAATGTCTCTACGCCAATGAGCAAAGCTATTGTTCATCAAAATGTCTCTACACTGATGAGCAAAGGTATTGTTCACCGTAAATGTCTCTACGTTGATGAGCAAAGGTATTGTTCATCAAAATGTCTCTACACCGATGAGCAAAGGTATTGTTCACTCAAAATGTCTCTGATGAGCAAAGGTATTGTTCATCAAAATGTCTCTACGCCAATGAGCAAAGGTATTGTTCACCAAAATGTCTCTACACTGATGAGCAAAGGTATTGTTCATCAAAATGTCTCGCTTCTCAATGAGCAAAGGTATTGTTCACCAAAATGCGTTCTCTACACCAATGAGCAAAGGTATTGTTCACCAAAATAAAAGTTCTAGGTCGATGATAAAGGTATTGTTCATCAAAATGTCTCTACGCCGATGAGCAAAAATATTGTTCATCAAAAATGTCTCTACGCCAATGAGCAAAGGTATTGTTCACCAAATGTCTCTACGCTGATGAGCAAAGGTATTTTTCATCAAAATGTCTTGTTAATGAGCAAAGGTATTGTTCATCAAAATGTCTCTACGCCAATGAGCAAAGGTATTTTTCACCAAAATGTCTCTACACCGATGAGCAAAGGTATTGTTCACCAAAATGTCTCTCTACGCCATGAGCAGTTGCATTGTTCATCAAAATGTCTCTACGCCGATGACAAAGGTATTGTTCACCAAAATGTCTCTAAGTTAATGAGCAAAGGTATTGTTCACCAACTACTACGATGACCAAAGGTATTGTTCACCAAAATGTCTCTAAGTTAATGAGCAAAGGTATTGTTCATCAAAATGTCTCTCTACGCCGATGACCAAAGGTATTGTTCACCAAAATGTCTCTACGCCAATGAGCAAAGGTATTGTTCACTAAAATGTCTCTACGCCAATGAGCAAAGCTATTGTTCATCAAAATGTCTCTACACTGATGAGCAAGCTATTGTTCACCTAAAATGTCTCTACGTTGATGAGCAAAGGTATTGTTCATCAAAATGTCTCTACACTGATGAGCAAAGGTATTGTTCACCAAAATGTCTCTACGTCGATGGGCAAAGGTATTGTTCATCAAAATGTCTCTACGCCAATGAGCAAAGGTATTGTTCACCAAAATGTCTCAATACGTCGATGAGCAAAGGTATTGTTCATCAAAAAGCCTCTACACTGATGAGCAAAGGTATTGTTCATCAAAATGTCTCTAAGCCAATGCTGTGCTGCATTGTTCACCAAAATGTCTTCTACACCAATGAGCAAAGGTATTGTTCACCAAAATGTCTCTACGCCAATGAGCAGCGTATTGTTCATCAAAATGTCTCTAATGATGACAAAGGTATTGTTCACCAAATGTCTCTACGTCGATGGGCAAAGGTATTGTTCATCAAAGTGTCTCTAATGCCAATGAGCAAAGCTATTGTTCATCAAAATGTCTCTACACTGATGAGCAAAGGTATTGTTCACCAAAATGTCTCTATACCCAATGAGCAAAGGTATTGTTCACCAAAATGTCTCTACGTCGATGGGCAAAGGTATTGTTCACCAAAATGTCTCTACACCGATGAGCAAAGGTATTGTTCACTAAAATGTCTCTACGCCAATGAGCAAAGGTATTGTTCATCAAAATGTCTCTACGCCAATGAACAAAGCTATTGTTCATCAAAATGTCTCTACACTGATGAGCAAAGGTATTGTTCACTAAAGTGTCTCTACGCCAATGAGCAAATGTATTGTTCACCAAAATGTCTCTACGTCGATGAGCAAAGATATTGTTCACCAAAATGTCTCTACACTGATGAGCAAAGGTATTGTTCACCAAAATGTCTCTAAGTTGATGAGCAAAGGTATTGTTCACTAAAATGTCTCTACGCCAATGAGCAAAGGTATTTTCACCAAAATGTCTCTACACCGATGAGCAAAGGTATTGTTCACCAAAATGTCTCTACGCCAATGAGCAAAGCTATTGTTCATCAAAATGTCTCTACACTGATGAGCAAAGGTATTGTTCACCAAAATGTCTCTACGTTGATGAGCAAAGGTATTGTTCTTATCAAAATGTCTCTACGCCAATGAGCAAATGTATTGTTCACCAAAATGTCTCTACGTCGATGAGCAAAGATATTGTTCACCAAAATGTCTCTACACTGATGAGCAAAGGTATTGTTCACTAAAATGTCTCTACGCCAATGAGCAAAGGTATTTTTCACCAAAGGTCTCTACACCGATGAGCAAAGGTATTGTTCACCAAAATGTCTCTACGCCAATGAGCAAAGGTATTGTTCATCAAAATGTCTCTACGCCGATGACAAAAGGTATTGTTCACCAAAATGTCGCTAAGTTGATGAGCAAAGGTATTGTTCACCAAAGGTCTCTCTACGCCGATGACCAAAGGTATTGTTCACCAAAATGTCTCTAAGTCAATGAGCAAAGGTATTGTTCATCAAAATGTCTCTACGCCGATGACCAAAGGTATTGTTCACCAAAATGTCTCTACGCCGATGAGCAAAGGTATTGTTCACCAAAATGTCTCTACACCAATGAGCAAAGGTATTGTTCACTAAAATGTCTCACAACGATGAGCAAAAGATTGTTCAGTGTCTCTACGCCAATGAGCAAATGTAGTGTTCACCAAAATGTCTCTACGTCGATGAGCAAAGATATTGTTCACCAAAATGTCTCTACACTGATGAGCAAAGGTATTGTTCACCAAAATGTCTCTACACCGATGAGCAAAGGTATTGTTCACTAAAATGTCTCTACGCCAATGAGCAAAGGTATTTTCACCAAAATGTCTCTACGCCAATGAGCAAAGGTATTGTTCACCAAAATGTCTCTACACCAATGAGCAAA